AGAGATTGTTAGGAATCTTCTACACGGCAGGCAGTAGGTACACAGTGGAAAGACTTAGATCCTGATGTCTAGAATCTTGAACTCCAGTAAGCAAATCAATAAAACAAAAACACCATGCAACAAACAGCCAAAGAAGAACTGAAGCAACTATTTCCCATTTGTTTTATTGGTATCTTCCTTCTACAGGAGGTGTAGTTGTTTTGTTACTATTTACATTATGAATTACTGTGGAAACAGATAGTCCTGAGACCATGAGCATGAATTGAGATGCTATTTCCAGGATGTTAGTTTAAAAAGCTGCACACTGCTTTTCTAACTTGGATGTTGAACATGTTTTGTGATTATGAGGGAGTACCACCTTGGTACTTTGTTCAATGATCTCTGGGTTCTGAAAACACCATCAGAGAAGCTGCTTCCAGTGCCCCAAACTTAAGTGAGTTTGTGTTTAACTGTGTTATTTCTGCATTCTTTATGCCTCGGTAAATTTTTGTTAAGACTATTACAAATTTGGCTCAGTTTTCTTACAGATTTTTAAGAAAGCAGAATTTGTTCACAGATGAACTTTCTTCAAGTCCTTAAAACTGCTTTTAGTGGCAATGTCTAAAGGTGACAAAGAGCAAAAGAACTCCCTGCAGAAGAAAGATCTCAAGTGCATGGTCAGGGCTCTGAGGTCCACTTACCTTACTAAGTTTCTAGTGTTCCTGTGTTAGAGCCTGCCAGCTGTCTACCAACATTGTTTCCGTTCTCTGCAGCAACAGAGTTACACTGGAAAAGGTCTGTCCAGCAACATTCTGTACAGGACTTGGTTTGTGATTGGTTCTTGACAAAGGAGGTGAGCTGCAGAGCTGTGTTCCACTCTCAGAACAGGTTTTTATAAAGGTGATCATGCATTCCCATCCCCTTCTGCAAGCTGGATGTGGTTGACGTCAAAGCAAAAGGAAATCAATGAATCACTAAAAAAGAGCAGTCTGCTAGCGTGAAGTCCCCTCCCTGGACTATTAAAAGATCAAAAAAGTTAATTCCACAAAGTTTTGCAAGCTACCATTTTAGGGATTCTGGAATAATGATGACAGTGCTGAAAAACATTATGCAAGGTGGTAGTAATGATTTACAGATACTTCCCAATGTAACACAACATCTGTGTGGGTGGGGGCACCTATGCAAGAGCTTCTAAAGCTGGACTTGGAAATGTTCTTAATAAGATATTTGTAAAACCCTTGCACTCCTATTTCAGAATTCAAGCCATAAAAGCAGGATAAAGGAAAAAGCCACTTCCAGGTAATTAGAAGCTGGAGCGGGCATTTCGCATAGGGAACAAACATTAAGCGTTAGTGATTCATAAAACTCTTGACCCTGAATTAGAGTTAGCAGAGAATGAAATGTTCTTGGAAACTGTTACGAAAACTCAAAAGAGGGTTTTTAAGGAGGCAGTTCACTAGATTGCCCAGCTTTTAGTCATGGATGTGCTCCTGATTCTAGATCCCAGATAATGCAGATTCTGGGAGGCAGTTGTGATGGTTCAAGTAGCTGACACCGCTTTGAGAGACATGGACTGAATTTCCCTTTTGCAGGCATTTGAAAAGTGAGCCTGCAGATAAAAGGTTTGTCTCTCTTTGTTTCCAAAATGAAGTTAATATAATTGATAAAGAAATGCAACAACAAAAGACCTTAGCATATCAACTTGAGGAGAAAATACAGGGCATAGGGCACTGTGATTTATCATGGATGTATAATATCATAAGATTAGGGGATATGAATATATACACAAACATATGTACATATACATGCCATACATACATGCACGTATATACATGCTTACACATTTGTGTATATGCATAGATATATGCACATGTTTGCATATAAACACATATATACACATGCATACACACACACATATATATACACACGCATATTCATTTATCACAATTGTCTAAAGATGAAATGAAATCCCCTGGGCAGGCAAGGGCTGTTATGTCAGAATCATGAGGGGAACTATTTATAATTTGTTCTAGATCTTTAATTTAATCAGATAAGTAGAATATGAAGAAGCTACATTTGTGGCTAAATATAAATTTTTGGTGTCCAGAGAGAGTATACTGATGATTTAATTATGAGTCTGAAGACTAGGGTAGAGGCTATAGCATCAAGTTTGTAGATGGGTACAAATAGAATTGGGTATAAATTCCAGCCTTGTTACATCCTAATTTTGTGACCTAACTTGGGCTATCTAATTTCTTTAGATCTCAGTGGCGTTACTTGTAAATGGAAATGCTTAGGGGTTACTACAAGGGCAAAATAAAACATTTGCAATGTACCCTGTACATTATACAATTAAGATATTAGCAGTTGCTCTTATTAATAAGACTCAATGTTTTAAGTTTTGTCATTGAGAAGACAAAACTCTTGGGAGTCTTATTTTTCCTGGTTTGTTTAAGATTTAATCTTGAGGGCCCAGAGCGGTCACCTAGTGGCTCAATTCTTGCCTTGCAGCCGCTGTGATCTCATATGGGTGCTAGTTTGTGTCTTGGCTTCTCCACCTCCCATCCAGCTCCCTGCTTGTGCGCTGGGAAAGCAGGAGAGGATGTTCCAAAGTCTTGGGACCCTACATGCACAGGGGAGACCTGGAAAAGGCTACTGGCTCCTTGCTTTCGGAATGGCTTAGCTTCAGCTGTTGTAGCCATTTGGAGAGTAAACCAGCAGATGGAATATCTTTCTCTCTGTCTTTCCTTCTCTCCATAAAATCTGATCTGCCTTTCCAATAAAAATAAATAAACCCTTAAATAATTGCATGTTCAACACTTCAAAGATTTAAACTTTGAGCTAATATGCAAAATATCTTGAAAAGAGTTTTAAGAATCTATCGTCTGGGGCAGTCGCTGTGGAATAGTGCATTAAGCCTCTGTCTGCAGTGCCAGCATCCTGTATGGGAACCAGTTCAAGTCCCAGCTGCTCAGTTTCTAATCCATCTTTCTGCTGGAGGCCTAAGAAAGCAGCAGAAGATGGCCCAAGGCCTTGGGCCACTGTACCCAATAGAAAATCCAGAAGAAGCTCCTGGGTCCTAACTAGTTCAGCTCTGGCTGTTGTACCCACTTAGGGATGGAATCAGCAGACCCAAGATCTGTCTCCTCATCCCTCTATCTCTGACTTTAAAGTAAAATAAGTGAATGTTTTTAAAAAAATTAAAAGAATCTGTCCTTTTTGGGGGAGTGTTTTCCTTCATTAAAAGGAGACTGACTATATTTTGTGAGAAATTGCCTATGGTCTTCAGCTAAAACACAGATAAAAACCTCAAAAGAAAAATATCATTTCCCGCTTTTACATTAGGAAAATATAAAAATACCTTATTAGCATAAGAGATAATTAACCATCTTGTTATTTCCCCCCAAGCAACCAGTTAAAACCATACCTAGTCTGCATTTTTAAAATTATGAAACATACGAATGAATCCACAAGAAGTACTAAACTTTTATCCCCTAATACAAAAGTTGCCCTTGAAACAGCCCCTTCATATCTGCCTACAAATTGCTGACATGAACAACTTACCCTCCATCCCTGGTAGAATCTTGACATGGTCAAGGACAATCTTCTGAAAATTCAAATAAAAAATGGTTTAAAATGTCCTTTCAACATTTTGTCAAAGGAAACAACGCACCGTGACAATTTTCTTCCTTCTCGGAAACTCTACTGATGCAGGGCTCTGGAACATACTTCTAATACAAAACTTTTACCCTGCTTTGCGACAACTTAATTTAAATTTGTATTTCCTACTGTACAGTCATTAGCGGCTCCAAGAAAAAAAAAATAGCTGAAAGAATTCTTTGTCTTTATCATTTCATAACTATTTCTTCTAGAGCATAGGTCAATCGTAGGACAGTAAGTTTGCAAAATATTTCATTTTCTTTAAAGCAGCAACGAAGAGGTTAATTCATCGCTATATTGTTGCATGAGTTTTATTTCACCGACCAGAGTAAAAAAGACTTACTTTCAATTATTAAACTATTTTTTTCCCAAGTGATAGGAAGAAAAATGTTAATCACATACTAGCAAAAAAAATAGTTTACTTGAAATATAAAAGTAGCTTTTAAGTTTACAATTTAAAATAAGGCAGTGAGTTTAAAATTTGATTCAACCCTTGAGACTACAACATGGGCTAGTAAAAGAGGAAGAGAGAGAATGAGATTAATTTTTGAGATCAAACATCACCAGTTTTTTACATTTTCACACATTTCGAAGGTCTAAACAACTAAATACCGATTATAGCCCCCCACCCACGCACTCCTTAAAAGATATAAATTATAGCGATTTTTTTTACACCTCTTCCTGGATATACCAAGAGAAATATTTAAGGGCATGTGGAGGGACGCAAGCTAAGAGCGTTCTTGCAGCAAACACGACCTTTCTGTTCCTTGTATGGCTCTTCTCAACCCAGCCAGAAATCCCAGACAAGTTTATTTACACACACACACACACCCGCACCCGCACACACGCACCCCCGAGCAACAAGGGAGAGTGGCGGAAACGCCCTCTTTCCATCCCTTCTAAACAATTATCTCCGAGAGCAAAAAAAAAAAAAATCCAATAATAATAATAATAATCAACAGCCCTGTGCGCTGGGCGGCTGAGACGGAGAGCCGAGCGCGGGGAGGGAGGGCGATCCGCAGGCGAGCAGGGAAACGTGGCTCCTCCGCCGAGCAGAGGATTTGTGAAAAGGAGCGCTGGCCCGCGTGCGCCTCTTGTTCCCCGTGTAATTTGCAGCCAATCATCAGTAGGTGTCCACGGCCCTGCGTCCTCCTCACCTCGGCGCCAATCACCCCTCCCGCGCCCCCGCCCCAAGCCTCCACACCTCCTCCCTCGCCTTTCTCTCCGCTTCCCCTCCCCCAGCAACCACACACACGCACACACACACAAACAGAGAGAGAAGGGGGGAGGGTGAGAAAGAGAGAGGGGGGAGAGAGAGAGGGAGAGAGGAGAGAGTCCCCGGCTCCCTCCCTCCCTCGCACACAGCGACAGGAGACGGACGGAGAGCAACGCGCTGGGAGAGGAGAGACCACCGACAACAGCCCCGCGCTCTCACACATACACTCACACTCGGCTCTTTCCTCTCCCCCCACCTCCTCCTCCTTCCACCCCCACCACTAACACCATCTCCTCCTCCTTCTCTCTGCAACAAGAAAAAAAAAGCCATTTACAGGTATTTTTTTTTTGATCCGCATATTTATTTATCCCCCCCTCCCCAACAGTTTGTTTACAAGTATTAAAGTTGTAATTGGGAGCTGCCAAGACACATCTGGATTTGTGTTTCTTTGTGTTAGGGGGTGATGTGCAACTAATTAAAGGCAGACGGGCAGCGTCTGCAAATTCTAAGGCTCCCCAAATAAAAAGAGACTGGTAAGTGATTGTTCTTTCTCTTTCTCTGGCTTTTTTTTTTTCCTCTTAAATGTTTGCTGACCTTTGGGATCGTAAAAGTAGATTATTAATGCTGGATTCCAGCATTAAAATCCGTGGCTGTATTAATTTATTAATTAATCTGCACCCGCCCCTCCTCCTGAATGTTAAATATGACCTTTGATCTCTATGTCTCTGGTAGACCAGACAGACAATATTAGGCATGTACAGTCACATTGTTTAAAAGGAAAACAGGCGCATGAACTATGGATGTCTGCTTTAGCTTTTGCTATAGAACTACAATTATTTGTGTGTGTTTCATTTTGGCTTTTTAAATAAAATCCAAACAATAGCTGTGGCTTAGGTACCTTTTTCATGCTCCAGAGATGCATTGATTAAACAATAATGACCTGGATCCCGGGCACAATCCTTCTCTATAGTTTCTGGTGGCATTAAACCTGGGGGTAGAAAGCAGGGAGGTGGTGGCAATCAGTGAAGCAAGTGAAGCTTCTGTCTGGAAACATCACTCTAAGATTCTGGAAAGGGACATTGAATTATTTCAACAGACTCAAATGTTGAAATGTTTCCCTCCACTCAGTGTGGTGATATCTGATGCATGGTTGGCATAACTAGTTTTTACCAAGTAGCAGTTATTGTGGTCTTGCAGTTACAATGTGATTCGCAGAAACTGAAGCTATATGCATATTCTTGCTGTGTCTTTCCCCACCCCCTTCCTAGCATACAGAATATTTAGCCAGGAGCATTTTGGGGGCACCCTTTGTATTGCCTTTCAGACCTCAGAAGGGAGCAGTTTTCCCTAATGTGAAACCACAGAGGTGTTTCCTGAGTGATTAGGGACTTGCTGTGACTGAAAGATGCCTGCTAGTTTCTAATCCAGCCTGGGGTGAGGTGCCTTATCTTGATTTACTTTGCCTAATAGGGATTTGTTTACATAAACCCCTCTTTTTAGGGCACCTCATCAGTAGGTCTTGAAGTTTTTATACTTAGAGTTGGGGGCATAAATGGTTCATTAATCTAATTGTAATTATAATTACGATAATTGATATTCATTTTGAACTCTGAATATTTGAGACTGAGCCCACTGGGCCCCTATTTAGAATTCCCTGAACTCCACATTTTAGACCAAGCTGAGAGCTTCAGAAGATGTCAGAAAAAAAGATATCCTGCCAAGGGGAAAAAAAAATATCTGAAACAAAGAAACTGGTTTTTTAGGTGAATGTATGTTTGTGCTTTTCTTCTTACAAGGCAATGTTGTATCTCCCCCTCTGTTGTGAACAACTAGACTATCTCTTCCTAAAGCATAATGCTTGTGAGCAAAGAGACAAATGCAAATATTCAGTTAACATTAAACTTTCCTCTTTGAAAGAGCCAAAGAAAGGAAAAACCATTTTAAGGGTCCATTTCTTAAAGTTTGATATCACCACAAGGGGAAAGTCTGCCCCCCCCTTTTTTTTCACTCAATGCAGAAATCAGTAATTGTGAGAGACCCTGAGATGGAGGGGGCATGCTTTTCTGTTGGGAAGCACAGCAGTCTTCCCAATGAATGATTGGAGATATTCTCTCAGAGGCTGCAGGCACTTGGTTTAAACCCTGTGACATTGTTTATAATTTTTTTTTCCTTTAAATGTATCCAGTCTATCTTTCTTTTCTTCCTCCTTTTCTTCTAAACAAGTAGAACACCACCCTCCCCCCTCCACCACCACCACCACCAAGCCCCACCACCAAATGGCTTGTACAATTGAGACCTGTCCTTGGTCCATTGAATTAAGACCCTAACAGAGCCAGCTGTGCTGGGATTCAAACTAATGACCGCAGACACAGAAGGACACTGTGGCAGCTGGTAGTTCTTTTTTTTCCCTGCCTCTTTAGTTCAGATTGTATGTGGGCAGTCTCTTAGCTCTCAGTTGTATTGTGTTTGCTTACAGTTTATACTCGGACGTATTGTAGACTTTCTCAGTACTTCATTTGCTAATTTCCTGTTCATTTTCCTCATAGGGCATTGCTGTTTTCCACTTTACAGCATTTGCATGCCCAGGCAGCACTTGTTCACACATTTCATAATGTTTAAATGCCCTCTGCTTATAGGTAGTAACGCCCTCCCACCCCTGATTTGCATGTCTTTAGCACTCCAATTGCCCTTTTCCCTCGACATTTGTCACCCCCATCTTCCCTCTTTCCCCGGGTATCCTGGCTATTAATACATTTTCTCAGGAGGGTTATAAGAATAGGGGGGAGGAGCTGTGGTTTGCTGCGGGGAGGCCGGGAGGGAGCGAGGGAGGGAGCAGGGGTTGGGAGTGGGGTGTGTGTGTGTGTGTGTGTGTGTGTGTGTGTGTGCGTGTGTGCTGGGGGAGGGGGGTGATGATATGTGAATGAGGCAGGGGCGCGGGGGGGGGTTGTCACATCTTGATGATTGTTATGCAAACGACCTGACCGAAGAATGTGGGAGCTTTCGGTTCTGCGGTGGGCTGGCAAGGGAGGCTGTCTGTTTCTTTTTCATCTTTTTCCTCGTGCAGCCGGTTGGAATGACTTTCTTTATTTTAGTTGTAACAGTTGGAGGATAATGCAAAGGAAGACGCTGCCTGGGAATTCGCCGTCTGTGGAAATGCGCCCCAGAGAGGAATAAAGCAGCCCTCACCTTGCTCTCCCCACCCGGACCCACTTTCTCCTCCCTCCACGCCCCCCGCCCCGACTCCACCATCACCCCCTTCCCGCCCCCCCACCTCTCCCCCTTTCCCACCCAGGTGTCGGACCAGGCGGTCCCCACTTCCACCCTGCACCCCTTCTTCCCCCCCTGCACCATGAACACCAATGTCTGCGTGGAGCCCGGGCCGAGCCCGGAGGCCCCGGGCTTGCCCAAGGAGAGCCACCTGCCCGAGGGGGCCCTGAACAGCCTTGTGGATTACAACTCGGAGATGGAGCGCTACCGCTCCTTCGCCACCTCCTTCTACAAGACCAACGGGGGCGCCTTCCCGCAGGCGGCCAAGATCGCGCGCATCACCACCCCCATCTTCCCCAGCAGCGCCGCCGCCGCCGCGGCCGCCGCGCGCATCGGCATGTCCCCCTGGAACTGCGACAACGCGGCCACCGCCGCCGCCGCCACCGCCATGCTCTGGGGCAGCGGCGGGGGCGGCGGCGGCGGCGGGGCCGGCGGCGGCGGGGGCGGCGGCGGGGGCGGCGGGGGCGGCAGGAAATCCTCCTCCGCCGCCGCCTCCTCCGCCGCCTCCTCCTCGGCCATCCTCCCCGCCGCTGCCGGGGGCGCTGGCGGCGGCGGCGGCGGCGGAGGCGGCGGCGGCGGCAGGACCGGCATGCACCACCGAAACGACTCCCAGCGGCTGGGGAAAGCTGGCTGCCCGCCAGAGCCGTCGTTGCAAATGGCAAATACTAATTTCCTCTCCACCTTATCCCCTGAACACTGCAGACCTTTGGCGGGGGAATGCATGAACAAGCTCAAATGCGGCGCTGCTGAAGCAGAGATAATGAATCTCCCCGAGCGCGTGGGGACTTTTTCCGCTATCCCGGCTTTAGGGGGCATCTCATTACCTCCAGGGGTCATCGTCATGACAGCCCTTCACTCCCCCGCAGCAGCCTCAGCAGCCGTCACAGACAGTGCGTTTCAAATTGCCAATCTGGCAGACTGCCCGCAGAATCATTCCTCCTCCTCCTCGTCCTCCTCAGGGGGAGCTGGCGGAGCCAACCCGGCCAAGAAGAAGAGGAAAAGGTGTGGGGTCTGCGTGCCCTGCAAGAGGCTCATCAACTGTGGCGTCTGCAGCAGTTGCAGGAACCGCAAAACGGGACACCAGATCTGCAAATTTAGAAAATGTGAAGAGCTAAAGAAAAAACCTGGCACTTCGCTAGAGGTCAGAGGAGATGATTTCTTGTTTCCCAGTCTCCCCTCTTCCCTCCTCACTCCCCTCTCTTCTTCTCCCCTTCAGGGCTTCTGGTCTGGCTTCAGGATGCAGTGCCCCCTCCCCGAAGCGTCGTTCAGGTGTAAGACGCAGTTGTAGGTGGTGTGTGGCCTCTGCGGGCGCGCGCGCGCGCACACACACACACACACACACACACACACACACACACACACACACACCCCTGCCCCTGCCGCACTCCCCGAGGAACCGCCCTCCTCAGCAGGAGGCTGCCCCTCCTTATGCCTCTGGAGGGGGATTCCTGGAATTGGTTTGCAGAACCTAAAGTTTCACATTCTGTATGGTCAGTAGTTTCCCTTGGAGGGTTTAAAATGCCCCCTTCTCCTTACTGGGGGATTTTGAAAGAGAGAGAGAGAGAAAGAAAAGAGAAGAGAGAGAGACAGAGACAGAGAAGGGCATTCTGCCCAAAAGGCTGCATATCCTACATAGCTTTGTTAGCCAAGATGGACTTATTAGTGGACCGGCTGTAACAGGGAGAACACAGTTTGTGGCACACAAGTCCATGTTGTCACTAAAAAAAAAAAAAAAAAAAAAAAAAAAGAAACCAGAACACTTAAAACAAAAAGCATTAATCGCTGAAGCTGAAATACCTGAATTCAAAAGGGGCGTTTTTTACCCCCTTTGAAAATAGTTTTTCTTCTCATTTGGACAACCGTTTCTCTTTCTTATTTCCTGAATATTTGATATCTTTTTCCTGAAAAAGAAGAGACACTATAAAAAGTTAATGACCACCTTCAGGTTTCAACATGTGTCTTAGACTAAAGGGATGCGATCATTTAATTTTTTGGGCAAACGATGATTATTTTGTTTAAAAATTATTTTACATGCATTCAACAGTAACCAATTCCTAAAACTCAATTATGAAGACATTTTCTCTTGTGTCCCTCATGTTGTCACAAGTTTTGTGGCATCAAACCTCTTCTTTACACCAACCGACTTGGATCAATGCCTATATGGTCACTAACATTTTCTTTTTCTTATATGACCTTCAAACATGATATGATTGCTACATTTGGCTTTGGATTATGTAATTTAGAGGCTGATGTGTTGGAAATTCTATATGATATCATTGCCAGAGAATGGGGGAAAGGGCAAAAATGAAAGATACCTGGCAGATGGTCGTGATGGTATCCTAACTAAAGAAATATGGATGTGTGATTAGATTGAGTCCAGTGATAGCTTTGTAGAGTAGATGGTGGGTGAGAAGCTCTTATGGATAGGAACGGTAGGTGGTGGAATTAGCATTTGGAAAGATTCTATTCGCTGAAATGGAGAGTGAGCGTGGCTTCCAAAAGTTTTACTCAGAGAGGAGGCTGTACACTTTTCATGTTGTGAAAACTGCTTGGAACAAATTTGTGGGTAAGCTGGAAAGTTGCCTCTAAAATAATATGGCAGATTAGCAATTTTTTGTTGTAGATTTGAACCTAAAGAAGACACAATTTTTACAATTAGTACAAGTCACAATACTTGAGGATTCCAAACAGTGTCAGAACGATATTGGTATCTCACTTGATCGTGATCACTTTCATCAAATGTTGCACTTACTCCACTTTTTAGAAGACAAACCATCTCTTTTGAAAGTTTAACTTTGCTACGGGGTGGTTGACATCTAAGTAAAGATAATAGCAAGTTTAAAACAGGTGCCTTGCCTCTTCTTCAGTGGAGAAAATCAGCTTTGAATTCTCTCTTCTGGATCAATTCATTATAGTCTCTTCAAACTTCTTAGACTCATGAAAGATTAAAGTTTTAGTCATAGTGCCATTTTCTATTAACCCATTAGGTTCCAAGTTTACAAATCTTCAAAAATTTCAGGCGCATCATGTTTATTTCGAGGTTATCATAAGTGGTATATTGCTCACTTTATAGTTGTCCTATATAAAGGGTGATGAAACACAATGAGTTAATGACCAGTTGATAAGAAAATTGGCTTTTATTTTCCATCATGAAATGTGATACCCAGTGATTTGTGAATAGGGCCACTGAAAGATTTCGGACTATTTAGTAATATAAATACAAATAGGTTTTGTGCCAAACTGCTTCTCTCTTTAATGAGAAAGATATGAGAGAGAGAGAGAGACTCCTGTCTGCTGCACCAGTTCCCCAAATGCCCATACAGGTGAGGGTGAGCAGGTCTCCCATGGGGGTGGTAGGGACCCAAGCACTTGAGCCATCACCACAGTATTCAGTGTATACTGGCAGGAAACTGGAGTCAGGGCCTGGAGCTAGATGTGGAACTCAGGCACAGGCATCTTAATTGCTAGGCAAGCACCTGCTTTATTTTCTGTATATTCTTTTATACTGATGGATGCATCCGTATTTCATAAATGTGTTTTTACCCTTATTGGCTGTTTTTGTCACTGCTTGTTGTGTTGTTCAAATACCATGGGCATTTGATTACAGAATTCACTGAAATTATCTTTCTTGTTTGTAAAAATAACTCCTGCATTCAAAAGTTTTGTTTGGCTTCAGAAGGTGGGGTGAGAAAGGAGAGGAAGCCAATTTCTCCTTTTGTGGAACTGTCAAGAGTTTCTGTAAATACAGACCACTCCCTATCAGAGTATGGGTTGTGTTTCAAGGCTAAGTTTACCAGTGGAATGCTGTTTGGCAGAGTTTTAAAAATTGCTTAAGGTCCTATCTAGGTCATTCAAAAAAGAAAAAAGACAGCATGGCTGCTTGCAACCCACAGGCGAACACCAATTGTGGTTCTAAGAAGACAGCTGGACTTGCATTAGGCTTTTAGGCTTACATACCTGAACCAAAGCTGGACTCCTGGGTGTGGGTCAGTAAAAAGCCTCCTGCTGACCTGGCTTCCTCCCTCATCTGGCCCATCATCATCTGAGGAAGTGTTTGGGAGCATAAATGGAGTCCTGGTTGAGAGCAGTGACTTGGGGTCACATTATGGAAACCACCTGTGGGTTTCTGACGTTCACCCAGCAGCTCCTATTTGTTGGCTTTAAATTAGGGAGAAAGAACATCTGGAGGACAGTTACGACTCCAGTTCTCATTGATCACTGCAAACCACTGGTGCTCCTTCTCTCTTCACTGGTTCATATCCCCTAGATTGGAGGCATAACATAGTTCCAGAGTGGGTAAACTGAATTTAAGACAAACTCACATGAATCTGTTAGGATTCTTAATCTACATTTTTTTTAAAGCTTCCCCTCTAGACTTTTTTTTTAAGTCAGTTGTTTCCATACTTTTTCTCAGTATCCCTTTAAAAGGATCTGCATGCTCTAGAAATGTTTATAAAATCACCTGTTGATGATATGCAATGTGATAGCACACACATAATATTGAGTTTTTTTTCTGTAATACTGTGTACCATCTAGTTGCATATGCCACTATTTAGTCAATTGCTGTTTTTAAATTAACCAGTAATTGTTCCTAGCAATTTTTATTAATACTGTATAACCCTGGGTGAAACAACTTAATTTAAAAACTTGTGTCATAAGTGATCAATATTAATTACCTCGATACTTTGAGAAATACGATTGGATAGGAGAGCCAGGTGATTAAGTTCTATAGCAACACTAGGTGTTTTGCAAATGCAGTTGTTCAGTTCTTATACTCACAGAAGTTACATTTCTATAATCTAACTTTTAGAAACATCCCCATGGGATATGGTTCAAGAGATAACGTTGTCCCATGGGCAACCCTGGCCTCTTCATTCCTGCATGTGGTTCAGGTGACCTGATCGATCTCTCTGGGACCGCATTAGAGACCACACAGAACTGGTTCCTCTCCTGTTATTGATTTATAGAATTACATTAGTAAGCAGCACCTCAGTGGGATTCCCTGTCCCTTGCTGCATACACACTGCCACCACCCAGGCATTTCAGAAGCTGGTGGAGGTGCTGGGAGGAACAGATGCTACAGAAGAGAAACTGAGGCACTAGAAGACGGAGGGGAGGAAGAGTCTAGCTTTTTTTTTTCCCCCTCTCTGAAAAATTTATCTGCTGAATCTACAGGCCAGCACTCATTTTTCTACAAGTTTGGCTGAGCTTCTGACAGATTTGATGGGAAGCATTTAGATACTGTTCCAAACTTCTTATTTTAATCCAAAAGTCTGTTTTAGGGGAGGAGGGTCAAATGGTTCACACACAGACACACATATACACACACAGAAAGAGAGGAAGAGTGAGAGAGAGATTGTTAAGTTCCAGAAGCTCCACAGAAATGCCTTGGTAGGCTTCTGCAGTTTGTCCAGGAATATGGCACCTGTCTCCCAATAAAGTTCTTCTGTAGACCACACATACATAAGTGTGTCGTTTAAACTCAGTGTCACTATAAATATTGAAATCAGTCAATAATTGAATATAAGGAAGTTTGGTGATTTTAAAAAAGCATGTATGCATAAAACATAAGTAGATCCTATCTTAAACTGAAATAATCACCGACTTCTCAACTTATGTGATCATGTAAAAATAACATTATATTTACAATTTTCAGAACCAAAACTGATTTTTGTAAAAAATATAAATTCTGATTTTAATCCAAGATGCTAATAAAAAATTGGCTATTAAGGAGAAAGAAGAACATTTTTAAAAATCAAAAAAGATAGTATATTAATGTTTCAGTATAACAGAAGTACTATGGGAAAGAGTTTGAAATATATAGGAAGTAATAATAAACCTCAAAAGATTTGACTTTGAAATCAAGGCATTGACCTGTATTAAGTACAATGAGGTTCTCTATCATAACATTTAATACTAAGGAACTGGAGTTGATCTTAAGAATCTCAAACATTATACAGTTTTACTTTAAAAAATTATGCAATGCAGGTATTATTATGTTTTTGTTATTATTACTCTTAATGATTACTTTTAGTAATTCCTAAATAAAAACAATGTTCTCACCTATCCACATATCCTATAAATTCTCAGAAATCTTTTAGATTCTGACTGCAGATGGAAACATAAAGTGAGTAAAACCCA